TCGGGTATAAGACTGCGAGAATCTCTTGTAGGTGAGAAAAAATCCGGGTCAATATTGATATCATTGATCATGATGAGAGTGAGAGAGGGGAGTTGAGAGGGAAAGATTGCGAGAGAGCGATAGAGAGAGAGAGAGAGAGAGAGAGGGAGAGAGAGAGAGAGAGAGAGAGAGAGAGAGAAGGGGACGCGGCTAACGTGCATTTTCCTTGCTGCCTCAAGTATACTGCTCTCGCTGATATTATTACCGGTACAAGGCCTATTGATGGTACTATATTTTCGATGCAACAGTAGATATTGGTAGTGTTGAGTGGAAATAGATCCCCTATCTTTTGTCGACATCATGGGCACTGTTAGATTTAGATCATTAGATCAGATCGTGCAAATGCATATATCAAAATAATCTAAACAAAGAATTTAATAGACAAGTTAAAGAATTCTTCCGCGTGTCATACCTCTGTCTGGCATGAGCATGAATGAAAAAAAAAAAGGTTTTGTCCATATAGTAGAACATCTTTGAGGAATTTACAAGTACTTGCACTTGAACTCTAATTGAGACCAACATTTAGTATGTGTTACGAATGTGTTTCATGTGCCTTTCTGGACTAACTATTGACTTACAACTCTGCCAAAATTCGACTAAAAGAGTCAACACTTTCTCAAAATATTTTTTTGCGATCATGTACGATGAAAGAAATGTTGAGGGAAAGGCAAACAAAAATAAACCGTAAAGTTCCTGGAGGTGTCAATTTGTGGGAAAGATTTTACAGATGGCTGGGAAGGTCAAAGGTCATATGATTAACCCTTGGTGACCTCATTTTCCTATCAAGGGCAAGGTCAATATAGGTCAATCTTATTAGCCATCGGGTATGCCGTGGTCAGGAAAAACATGCCAGTCTCTTGTTCGACCTCTCTCTCTCTCTCTCTCTCTCTCTCTCTCTCTCTCTACTTATGATACTGCTAGTACCTTTTCAAGCATACTTTGGTTATATCTTCAGTCTTCAAACAGCTTTCACAAAAATAAATCATAATTTAATTTCTATACATGGTAGCCTTATAGTCCTCTAGGTCACTAAAATATCAAATAAAAACTTTCTTATTTCTTTGATTATTTTTTCTTCAAAATCAATAGCCTTACAGTAATTTATTCTCCAACGGTTTGTTCGGGTTTCCCTGCGTACTTTCTATAAATGGATGAACCATGTCTATATGATAATCTCACCCTCTCTTTCTCTCTCTCTCTCTCTCTCTCTCTCTCTCTTCTCTGTTTCCCAACTTCTTTGTCTTTTTCTCTCTTCGGAGTCTTCTATCTTTTTATCGTTCCCGGGCAAATCCCCAAGGAGATGAATTAGGTTGGGCTCTTTGAACACCAAACTAGTCGAATTCCCTAACAGAATTTGCACTTTCAAACATTTTGTATTATATTCAACTATACCCACTAGCGGAAACCTCTCACTGCAGGGTGGAGTATATCTTGAGTGGTATATAAGAAATGGCCTGATACTTTTTTTGTAATTTTGTTTTATGTTGCAATCAAGAAATCGGATACCATTTTCCATTTTATTTTTGCCCCTTTTGATCTATATCAGCATTACCTTAATTATGTTGAATATAATTTCCTCCCCATATTTTCTTTGTACAATGAACCAGATCACGATCACGAGTTGTTTTCATGATTGTGAAAGTAAAAACAACTCATTGCAGTGCTGGACAACACAAGCAGTTCGTCATCGACTTTGGACTCCAACATTTTGTACATCATCAAACGACGATATAGAATCTAATCAGTCGACTTTATCATGTAGTTTTATGCATTGTAAAAAGTGTATGATTCTGTGATTAGTGATTAGATTCAGATTCGATTCCACATCTATAAGAGCTCGATCTAAGCACGAGCTCGGTGGGTAATTAGTAGTAAGTTCCTATTAAGTAGAAAGTGAAAGGTGGATTTTGTGAACGAAATATATACATTTAGTTAGGCCTTTATCCATTAAATGTCCACGAGTTTACAAAGATGAACTCTTTATATTATTCATTTTCACGTCTGATGAAACGTATTGTATGTTATAAAAGTACAACGGAACACCAGTCTATGGGCTCAAGACTGCAGATATTTTCTGCGTGCATTATATTGAAATATCTCCTAATATCGTTATTGCTGCCTGCAGCTGTTCCCTATAGACTGCTTTTCAGACCTCTAAATCACAAAGTTATATGCTCTCGAGTATCGTATATCAGTTTAGATCACTGAATACTATTGTAGAACGAAATAAGTAGCAATTCCTTTGCCATTATTACCATGCATAACTCAGACATTATACTTTTGAAATGAAAAGCAAAATACAAAACTCTAATTCCGCCACAGTGATGTATTTACGTATATAGCGCAATTAGTTTGATGTAATACACAATGTATGATAGCAGTAAAGGTAATAACCATGATATATTATAGCCTCATTATTTGTGACAGTATTGCGGGAATCTTCCAGAAAATGAATATCACACAACTAGAATTGAACAGAAATGCGTTGTATGGTAAAAAGTAATCCTTGATAGGTGTCAAAGAAAACAGACTAGGTTTTCATCAAGTCGTGTGAAATAGATTTCACGCGACATGCAGCATGTTAGTTGGCGTTGGCCTTTCAAAACATACCACAACTACTGCTTTCTGCTGTAAAGCTTCAAAAGGCATTGATCATAACACCGACGTGACATAAGAATACATTTTGAGTAGAAATCAACCTTGTTCAGTATCTCTCGACACGACAATGAAACTGAACAATAGCTCTTGTTTGGCGTTATTGAGGTCACTATGAGTTCGGTCACTGGTCAATTTTTGTGTACTGACCTCTCTGACGAAGGAAGTTCAGTCTCGGTCTGTAAGATTATGGTGATTAATACTCGCAGTTGTTAACTCAATCAGACCATGATAATTATACAAGCGTGAGTACTACGAGCGGGCAAGAGAAAAAAAAAATCACGAGTGCTAAAGTAGACCCTGTATTATAACAGTTGTCATTCGCAAATCCTTAGAATTCGAATTGTAATATTTGTCAGTAACTTTGCATTTTGGTTGTGATCTATATCAGGATGATAGAGACATTGGAGAATACAAAACAATCATTATCAATCAATGGTAACAAAGAGAGAGATTAGAGAAAATACAGTCACAACCTGCTACAAATAGTAAAGACTATATTTTATCGCAGCATTGATTTACAAAAATTATTTATTCATTTATTTTTCTTATACACGGAATGGAACACTCTAACCGCAAAAGCTGGTCCAGCATCACCATAAAAAACCATATAAAAGAAAATAGAGATACATACCTAAATCACCAACAACAAAACAGGTTTCCGAGTCACGTACGTTCTGTGTCTAGCTGATCTGAAGGTTGAAGCAGAGTGTTGTGTTTCTAGATTTGTCCTGGCTGGTGGTTTGTCTGATCAGCTGCTGATCAATAAAATGCATTTGACTGTGCCCGCCTAGACGAACCAAAACAGACGACAATTACCTCCTCCCCTCCGAGAATGAAAAATTTCTCGTCAGAGTCGGTTGGTGGCTCACTAGTAAAAGTCACCTTCTTCAACATGAAACTTCTACATTTTGCACCAATTGAAGCTTCTCTCTTTAGTTGCATAATGATGAGCACTTTTTTTTTGCTCCCGAAAATTAAAAAATCGCGCCGGCAGAAAATTCGCTTTTGGCCATCGAGAATTTAAAAAAATTGCACCCCCCCCCCTTGAGTGCCAGGGGAGGGGGGGGGGGGGGGGGGTCCAACCCCCCCAAAAGGTAAAAATCACATGTTTTTTTTACACATTTTTTTCCCAAGAGGGAGGGGGGGGGGGCGCCCCCTGGATCCGCCACTGTGTCTAGTATCATCCATTTAAGACTTGTGAACAAATCAGCCGACGGTGTGTCATAATATATGTCTTGTTCAATATTATTTTTGCGGCCCCCTTTTGATTTCTTTGCAGCTTAGTTGTATGAGAATGAAATCTGTTCGACTATACAACAGAGCAGTAATCTAATCGTGGCAACACTAGACTGTTATAAAGTAACTTTAAGGATTTTTTAGGCAAAAAACTCTTTGCTCTCTTTATCATGCGTTGTTTTTCTGGGTCAGGTTACTTACGTTTTCGATTTGTTTAGACCATTTCAATTCTTCATCTATCAAAAGTCCTTTCTTTCTCTCTTTTGCTGTCTTTTTTCAATTTTATTCTTATTTATCCGTTTGATTTGCCCCCCTCCCCCTCTCCCAAGCGTATGAACCTGATGAAAGGCGGCTGTTCAAGTACTTCCGTGACCATTCCATAGCTAGGCTACAGTAGCTATTATAACTCATTATATGCCCTGTAAAGTAATTTGTTCTGTTTGCAAAAATCACATGGTGCTTAATGGGGGAAACCAAAAACTAAGAAATAAACAAATGAAAATAGAACCAAACAAACAGATTAAAAAAAAAAAGAATTAAAGAAAAGAAAAACACGGAACGAGAAAACCTAATACGGTTTGTGACGCTTTGTTATACAGCGCCATCACAATGATCAGGATCTTCTGTGACTGATCAAGGGGGGGGGGGGGGGGGGTGGTATCCCGATACAAGCTTCTCGAAGGGATTTACAAATTGTTTTTTGTTTTGTATCACTATGCTCTTAAATCAAGTTATGTTCAGTGTTACTCGCTTTCGAGTTTTTAGTAAAACGTGAAGAAATAAAATACTGGAAGAAAATAGACTTGATCCTGGACTTGACCCCCTCACATCTTCCCCTGTCGCGTCCCATTTCACTCGTCTCTTCCCTTATGATTTTACCTCTTTTCTCATCTCTTATGTTTTCCTTCCATTCATGGCTACCAGAGCTATGGGGATTGTGCAATATGATTGTCAAAGTCATGTGAATGGTGCTGTACTGTTCTAGTATCCCAAATACGACTATGATAGCGTCTGGAATGTGTAGACTAGGTGAAGCCACAGCCCAAAGACGCGCATGCGCAGCCAATTGCACTGTAATCAACATGGCGAACAGTAGGTTGCCGTGAAGAAGAGACGGACGTCAGATAAACACTACATTTTAGCATTGATTTCTTCTGTAAATTCAACGTTAAGTGAAATAGAGGCAATCATATAACCATGGAGAACACTATAAACCCCGAAGTTGAAGTGAAAAAGCTTCAGGATTTGGTCCGAAAGCTTGAAAAACAGAACGAACTGCTTCGCAGCAAAGCGGATGCAATCGGTAGCCCGACATCCAATGGAACTCTACCATTGACGGAAGCTAACACGAATCTAAATTCTAATGGAGACATTAAATCTGGAAAAATAGGTGCGAAAAGGACAAACAATTCCGATAAAGGTCTTCTTGATGCTGTTAAAGTATTGGACACTAACTTAGGAGATTCAGATGATGATACTTGGTGAGTAAAGAAGAAACATTGAACACATTTATTTATTTTGACAACGAATTATAAAAATCAAATTCAAACAAGTAAAATCAGCAAAGATGATATTGAGACTAAAAATGAAGCTAGACCTGATTCCTGTTCTTCTTCTTCTTCTTCTTCTTCTGTTTGAGTATTGTCATACGGTACTAGGGGTCTTGAGTCTATACTGGGGTGTGTAGGTGGATAACTACACCGGGTTTGTTTCGCCCTAGGCCTAAGTTAGGTCTACTCTTAAATATGTGCATGGACGTGCAGTGGGTTATTAACGTGCAAAGCCAATTAAGGTAGTGACTCTTCTCTACACGGGGCCTCGATTTAGCGTCCTATCCGAGAGACGGAGTGTATTCCACTTAACATAGCCTGCATCTATGAAACAAGGGGAGGGGCACGTTAACACACAACGCAGGCTTCAGTCATCCACCTGGGTGTGATTCGAACCTGAGATCTTTGCATATTAAAACTTACCATTGATGGTAACTTTGCCATCAATGGCATCTTCCATGGTATTGGTAACAGGGCTCAAAGGGTAATCAAAATCAAGGTTTCCATGGTAGTTACCATTGATGGCAAAGTTACCATCAATGGTAAGTTTTGTGCAACAGGCCTTGTAGGTGACCATAAGCTACGCACTTTGTTTTCAAAGGCCAAAATTATAAGTCAACCATTAACCAATCAGGTACATTAGAATGGAATAGATATTAAAATGTATGGCGCTAATTCAGAATCATATACATACTTTGACCCGTAACTCTGGCGTTGATATACCCTACTAAAACATACCAAAATCAACTAAATCTTCATCAATTGTTCAAAAGAGAATGAGTAAAAGAAGATAGACCAAGAAGATAGACCTGGAAGCTTGACTGCTGTCTCAGCATTCTTCCAGTATTTGCGGTAAAGGTAAAGGTAAAGTAAATAATGGTCATGATTTAAAAGTCTTTAGGTTTCTCACCTGTTTCGTGTCAACTTTCTTATCTTTTTGGAGTATTTTTCCTAAAAACGAACAATTTGTTGGCACATTCCAGCATCTGATGAACCTTGTACATTAGCTTTGGAGTTCCCTTGGGGATTTCTTTCTTCTCATACAAAGCCCTTTGAAATCAGTCAAGAATTCAATCAAAAAATTTACTTTTTCCTGATGATAATGAGCTAATGTGTGATTTACATTACAAAAACACTGTCCTCTTGCAAATTTTGTGATTTTTGTTTTTTGGGGGTGCTAAAATTGATACTTAATTTACATTTAAATCAATTAATTTAGTATAATAAGGCACACAGAGTTCGCTGAGTTTAGTGAACTCCCTGAGCACGCACCTTTTAATGATTTTACACTTTAACAGTAGGCACCGATAGACCAGTTCACGGTTAGCACATTACTGCAATGACCCCGAATATCCACATATCTTCAAAACATGAAGAGGTCCCACTTTGTACATTTTGAAATAATCAATCCTTCAGCGATGAAGGTGCTATATATAAATAGCCTCTGTTTCCCCTTTTCAAAGAATACTTCTACAGTACCTGTGTATGGAGTGCATTGAATGTGCATGAATGAATAATGTTACATAACTTTCATGAGCACGTATCCATTATTTCCTCTCTGTGTATTTCTAAATTTGTTCTGCAATGACCTTTATTTGCTCATGCTCAGACTGCAACCATGAACTGGCTTATTCTCGCTGACGCTAATATTACTCCCATAATGCATCGATGCAGCCTCTTGGACGTAATTTTGAGCCACTTCCGGGACCTACATTACGAACGTGCCCGAAAGCTGTGTACAGGATCCTCAGTTTTTGTGACGGAGGCAACAAAAAAAAAGAAAAAAATATTCCAAATCTTATCGACCACCAGATTGAATTAAAGAATAGAATGCCTTCCTTGTAACTTTGAGAAAATGACAGGCTTAACTTTAGAATACCCCACCAAAATGCTATGGCCCGAATTCACAAAGGAGGTTTGTCAACAAACTTACATGTAGGTGTGTCATATGACTCTTTTCAATGCGTTAAGTATGTCCGTTGGTCGTCCAACGAGCAATCAAATCCTGTATTGTAGACTGTTCAAATTTTAGACAAGTTTTTGCCCTTGCCACGGAACACGACCAAAGAAAGTTGATGTTATTATTTCTATGCTTCTACTTGCTCTTGCCTATCACACATCCACAAATCTTATTTTTAGTATGTTTAACAGTATTTTCATGAGATTTTCGTAACGATCCACTCTTGAAATTCTTAAAGCTTCTTTTCAACCATGTTAACACCTGTATACACGTACAAAATGTAGGTTGAAATTAGGCCTGTAACCGATCATTGGATCGGGGGCCGATCTTGAGCTGATCAGGTGAGATTGGATAATATCTTCCGTTCGCCGATCAATAAAAAAGATCAGAAAAAATTCGGCAGATTTTTTAATTTTTTAATTTAATTGTTTTAATGCCAAAATTTTGCATGCCTACAGTGTACATTATAATCCTAGATGGCGGCCCGCATATTCTGCCTCTTCTCTAAGAGCAATAATTATTATTAATTTCAAAGTCATGAAAAGGCACTAAATATCAACAAACATGGTTTACAACAACTCCATGTATGACAAAATAATCCCAGCTTTGGATTTTTTTAAACATTTGATAGCTGAAGCCTTGAAACAAAATTTCATTAAAAAAAAGAAACGCTCACAGGTACGAGGGTGTCGCTACAATCTTGCTACTACAATGTAATCGTATGACCAAAACTGGTCTATACCTTTAAGTATCATTATGAGGTACAACTTATTCATTATGCCATATTAATGTACACATTAGTACAGATATACAATGTACATGTACATGTACATGTATGTACATGTAATGTTAAAGATCAAATGTGAGTGCACTTGAGAATTGTAAGAATTTATGTTGATGCCTTTGCATGATTGTTTATTCTTCAAAATTCAAATTTGTACAGAATACTGATTTCACTGAAATGAATTAAATAAAAGGATATTCAAAACAAAAATATAGTGTCAAGTACAATGTAGTACAATGTGAACTATAATGATCAAAACCTGTACATGTACATGTATATGCTGACAAGTGATAGTATCATACATTGTACATTTTTTGCTTTGAAATAGTGCATGTACATTAAGTACATGTCAATTGGTTTCTAGTTTGAAAAACAGGAATGATTATTAAAAGACAGAACAAGTACATGAATGCTTTGTCATGATACTGTACATGTAGGCATTTTGACAACGAATCTAAAGATATATGTAGAGCAATGCAAGTCCAATGTAAGTCTTGATTTATTCACCTGTTGGTGAACTTGAGGCCAGTCACATCTTGCTACAGTGATGACTCACCAAGCCAACGTGGATCCACTCATTCCTCTATGCTTGATGCATCTTCCAATTTAACTTGATGAATCCTCTGCAGATAATGTTTGTCATATATGAAATATGTACACCACCAGTGTGCAAGTTCAGGCAGATTCTGTGATAATGAAGCAGGCAATAATATAACCAAGGTTGTTATGTATTTTGGTATTGGACTATTGGTATTATTTGTCCTGCCCCATCTTTCATTATTTTGTTAAGTTTACATGCAAGAGAAGTTTTATAGCATCATAGCAGGTTTTGTGTGTACGGTACATTTTATAGCTGATGACAGTCATACACTTACTTAAAATTGATATGCAGATTGGGTTCCACTGTTTTATGAAAGCAGCTACATGTAAATAAAATTTATCAATAAGGCAGCATATTTTAACAGTGATCTGATAGATTATGTCAGGTTATCTACCATTGCTGTGAAATGTGTCTAAATTTGACACAACATAACATTACTGTTGGAAGGTACATGTACATGTACATGTTCACTGTATGGCACATTTGGAGAGATAATTATTTGTTCATAAGCCAAATCCTTTCACTAAAGTATTTTCTGAAGATTTAACCCCCAAAACAGCCATCTCTCTGCTTAAATAAAGTCAAGGAAATCAAAAAGTCTTTTCTTTATTAAATACACATTTTTTTGATGACATCAAATGACCTGAATTTACCTCTTTTAAAAAAAAAGTAACTCAAAACCCAAGATTCAACGTTTGTTGCACTTTCACTTTTGTCAATCTTTTAACTTACTGAATCCAACGTTTTTACAGCCGATGCCTGAAGAATGAGTGTAATCCAGACTACATGTAGGTATAGACTAGTGAGAGAGAAGCAGTGTACCTACCTTGAACTTGTGGTAACATGAGTCTACCTCACACAAGGCTAGCGCTGGCTGGCCAGACAGTGTTCGTTTGTGTTACGACGTATGGATAGAAGACAGTGAGTCAGGCAAAATCTGCTTCCATATTTGGAGTGCGTAAGGTATAACCGGAGGGGGTATTCCCCTAGAAACTGTCAGAAGGAATTTATACTCTTGACTGATGAAATAAATTTGAATTCCTCCAATGTGTTGAGGAATGAGAGGTTACATTGTACATGTTATGTCTGTGTTTGATCAAGAAAGTCACTAGCTTGTTACTTTCCTGGGGTGTTTACTTTTGAATCACTTGCTTTATAATTTACTGCAATTTCTGACTCCAAGTACTGTACTTGAAATTCAATAATTACCAGTAAATAGGTAGCCAGGAAAGATTTTAACTGTAAATGTACATATACTGTACAGTAGGCCCTGAATGTAAATTCTATTGAGCTGATCGTGTGATAAATTTATACCACTCCCTCCCCCCTCCCCACAAACGGGTACATTGTACATGTATGTCATTTTATGAATTGATTAAACAGTAATCATCACCCCCTAAAATGCATGATCATCACAGATTTTTTGTTTGGTCATTTTCATATACAGGAAAAGACCTTGTTATAAAGTCAGGTGTGGTATGAAAGCCTCAAACAGACGCACATTAGATGTACATGACCAATCCTCGCTACATTTACATGCAGATACAGTACCGTGAGAATATGCTATGTGCAGTATTCCATTTGAA